GGCAGCTGAGTAGAATTGTGGAGTGGCTTTACGTTTGTTAATGAAGGAAAGACTCTAAGATATTGAGGTGAGCGCTGAAAATGCGAGTAAATAAAGTCCACTTCTATCGACGAAAATAGTTTGGCATGAATTGGTGGATTTTTGCTTCTAGATGAAAGGCTTTTAGCTTCAGCGACCTTAAAGTCACACGAGTAAAGGAAATGAAAGGCAACTTCAATTGGTTGTCCACTTTTGGGAACATTTAAAAAAATTAAGTTGAAACTTTTTTTGTGCCTGTCTTCGGTCTTAAAAGCAACCAGGTTAATGAGAGGCATGAGCTTCTCACATTGCTGAGACGCAGGTGTTGGCAATTTTCCCTCAAGAAGGGCACCAAGAACAAAATAAATGAATCGTAACGAGACATAAAACTGTTAACATTGTCGAGCGCTCGTAGGTCTATTTTTTCATATTGAGAATGGCTTTCAGATGAGAGACTTGGAGGTTAGTTTCCTTCAAATTTCGATGAAGGGTTACCTGAGGTTTCATGTCGAAAAAAAAAACAATACACAAGTTTAACCTTCATCTATAGGGATGATAACAGTCGTAACTTTGAGGATATAAGCATGAGGCTATGTATGATGAAACAATTTCTGAAACCTATCAGTATTGGTGGACCAGACAGCACAATTGTCACTAAGCAATTTTTAATCAAAAATAGAATGTTGTGGGAGAAGAAGCAGGTAAATAAAAATTTCGCAGGTGGCAAAACAAAACTATGAATAGAATTGTATTGAATAATGAGGCTAGGTAGGATAGAATAGAGCTCTGCCAACACCTGGAGAGCACTGAATACTGACAATCTCTCCAGTTCCGAGCCGCGCCAGTTGGGTAGGGGCAAGAGGATCAGGTGTGCTACCATGCTATGTACCACTAATTTTCCTTTGCAGACGTATTCGCGAACTAACCTCAGACTCCGACGACGAGGTCTCGCCAAACCAACCGAGAGAGCCAAGCGGTTGGCCAGCTCCACCGCCAATACTACAGTAAGTATGACTATTGTAAACATTTCGTAGGCCAAGAACGGAGGAGAATGTGCCGCACTTGTTTTCCACTGCGTCGATTGGACCCAGACAGTCAACACCACTGCCCTCACTTGAGTAGACAACGCTTATCATTTATTACTTTAGACACTCCACTGCCATTTCGTCATATGTTTCCACGGCTACAATTTCGACGGAATTTAGCCAGCAGGTGCAAAAGGACATGGCTGACATAAAAGGTCAGTTAATAAACACAAATGTCCGGCTAGCGGCACTTGAGTAAGACTGTGAACAATCTCCCTAACAAACTATTAGGAGAAGGAACGATTTCCTAGCTGAGCAACTTATGGCTCTTCATAGCAGTGTGCAGCAGATGCAGGCGACACTATCAGATGTTGTCAATGCATTGCAGAGAGCCTCCAGCGCTGGTTCTGTCACATCCTCCTCCCTAAATTTACCGCTGTGTACCGAGGAGGCATATGAAATCTTTCTTCGTCGGCTCAGCGTAGAAGACGGCTTTGCAAACGAGGCGGTATGTGCACATCTACTTGACTGTTTTCAGGTCCGGCAACTGGCCATGGTAGGTGGTCGAAATGAGGCAGACTTCCTCAGAAACCTACTGACGGTTCTATTGGGCCCGCCCTTATGCCACAACTTCTGTTGGGCGGGCGGATCCAAGGAGAAGAAGTCCTTCATGGCCTGTCCACTTTTTTCTGTCCTTAAAGGTAAGTCCAGTTTTTGTTTATTTTCCCGCGCAGATGCAATTGCCGAACATCCCCGTTTTGGCAACTGCACTACAGAGATATTTCGACGGACAGCAATCAGGTGGTTTCATGGATCACAGGACCGGTACGGAGGAAGATCGACACGTCGGCGGAGCATTCGTCAGGTACAAACTTTGGGGATTTTCATTCACATTTAGTTAGACTGCAGAAATCACCACACCTGCCGCCACATGCCCACAAGTATCCCTCGCCAAAGAAGCGGTAAGCAAATTTATCGAATTGCCAATCCTAAACAGCATGCTATTTACTTCATGTGATTTTTACTATCACAGTAGATGTACTTGTACTTGTACTTGATACGGCCTCAGTTATCCTCGCGATGTTGTCGCAGCGAGCGCGAACTATCTCATTTGAGACAAAGTCGGTTAACTTCACTCGAAGGATGATCCTCAAGCAGTGGTGGTCAAATACCTCCAGTTTTCGCTCATCCGCCACGCGCAAAGCTCAGCATTCACAACCGTAGAGAAGGACAGACCGGACAGATGCACGGTACACGCGAATCTTAGTGGCGATGGAGAGGTCACGTCGGTTCCACAGGCATGCAGGGATGCAGCTGTAGAATACGTTGGTCTTCCCAGCGTTTATGGACAAACCGACTGACTTAGCGACCTCGTTCACCCGTGACACCATAGACTGCCGATCACCAAAACTTGAAGGTAGTAAGGCGATATCATCGGCATAGTCGAGATCAGTCAGTCGATGTCCGGGTGCAAATTCAACGCCTTCACTGTCGCGTAGGGCCCTCCCGAGGATCCAGTCAATAGCGTAGTTGAACAGTATGGGTGACAGGATACAACCCTGTCGGACGCCAGACCGAATACCGAACGGTTGGGAAAGATTGTTACGGACCACGACTCTCGCAGTAGTGGAACGATAGTAGGCCTTGATCATGGCGATGATTTTTGCCGGTACACCATCTAGCGCCTTTATCCGCCACAGAGACTCACGGTGAACGGAATCGAACGCGGCGGCAAAGTCAACGAAGCAGACGGCCATCGGTTGTTGGTAGCTATGGCGGAATTCGAGAATGCGCCTCAGTGTGAATATCTGATCTGCGCATCCACATCCAGCACGAAATCGGGCTTGGTTGGGCCTCGTCCTTGAGTCATGCACAGCCTGGAATCGCCTGAGTAGGACAATAGCGATGATCTTCGCTGCAACGTCAATGAGACTTATGCCGCGGTAGTTCTTGCATATCGTCTTATCTCCCTTCTTGAGAATAGGTACAAGAATGCCTAAGCCCCAGTCATCAGGAACAACCTCGTCTCTCCACGCTCGTTCAATCACCTCATGGAGCCAGGGCGCCAGAGTGTCGACACAAGACTTAAAGATTTCAGCGGGTATACCGTCCTCTCCGGGTGCCTTATTGTTGCGCAACTTTCGTATGGCATCGGCGACTTCTTCCACGGAGGGGGGATCGCATGGCACTGCATAGGTAGGAGAGGGAAGAAACTCCGCTGCGGAGGAGAACAAGGGCGATGCAGGTTGAGTATCGAAGTTGAGATGGTGCTCAAAGTGCTCACGCCAGCGCTCGACTTTGGCCGATTTGTCAGCTATAAAGCCGCCGTTCACATCGCGAACAGTCACTCGGTGTAGAGGGCTTACCGCTAACTCGGCGGATCAGACGGTAGAGCTTTCGAGTGTCACCAACGTTCGAGGCCTGTTCCATGGATGTCGCTATTTCGGCCCAATATTGTTTCCGGTCATCCGTGGCCGATTTTGCCGTCATCTTCCGAAGTTGGCGGAAGTAGTCATCGTTGCGGGACCTGGCTCTAGCCGTCTGAGCAGACAACAGCAGGGTTCTTCCGCTGATCCAGTTACGGCGGCATCGCTGGGTGTATCGAAGGATTTTCTCAGCTGCCCCATAGACTGATGTCTTCAGTGACGACCACTGTTTACTGACTTCTCCGTCGGCTCGGGCTGTAAAACAGGTCCGGATTTCTCTGCTTAGGGCCTCGGCAGTGCTGGCTTGCCGGATTTTTGCGACATTGAGGCGTCTAGGACGTGGCATTTTTGGTGCGGATGAGAGATGAACTTTCAAGCGTGTACGGACGAGGACATGGTCCGACCCATGGGCGTTACCAGTCTCGGCACCACGCATCGATCTGCTATCGTGAACCCAGCTGCGGAACCTTCAACTGACTACTATGTAGTCAATCTGACTGGCCGTGCGACCGTTGTTTGAATACCAGGTCAGCAGATGTTTTTTGCGATGCTGGAAGCATGTGTTGGTGACAATCAGCAGATCGCGGCGAGGCAGTCTTTCAAATAGCGCTTGCAACTGAGAGTAAAACGCCTCTTTATCGCGCTGTTCGGCAGCCGACGTTGGTGCGTACACAGCGACGATGGAGATGTTCGTGACGTTCGTACATGTCAGCATCCAATACCGAGAGGCAGTCCCGCAGTTCCCGCGGACGCCGTAGCATGGGTCGTAGTACTGTGATCGGACATGTTGCATGGGGTTTCTTGGGAAGTTCGAATACGTGCGGGTCCCCAACAGCCGCTCGGATTGTTTGTTCGAGGTTGTCTCCTCTAGTAGATGTGCTAACTCATGAAATGTCAACCACAATTTCGAAATGCGTTCTCGTTTCAGGAAGATAAATGACGTAGTGTTGTAAAACGAATCATGATGCAGCATAAGTCTATAATGATCCAGTTACCTCAGGGTGTCGGCTTTCGAAAGAACTTATTTTCGGCTGCATGCAAGGTCTATACTCTGCAAAAAATGACTACTTAAGTAGCATGCAATTTTCTCATTGATTTTCGATGCCTTTGAAAATTCAATTATATTTCGGGGAAAACAGGCATGAAAATATTCATTCGTTTACTTATTCGGTAGAACATTACGTCTTCTTCCAATTTCATACTGAAAAGAAGAGTATAATTCGGTTTTAAAAAAGTTTCCAATTGTGAGATTTTGTAATACCGTTAAATGACCGTTCATGATACGTCATGCATCTACATTTACGAATGTGGCTTGTAAAGTTAACAATATTGCTCAAATCCACTGCTTACTTTTATGAACCTCATATGGTCTCCTCTGAACACCGTGGAGATATGCATGGTTTTCCGTACACGGAAACTATACAGCTTGTAGTTTTTAAACCCTGAATGCAACTGTAACGGCAGGTCGGGTTCAAAATTATTCGGGAATTAGAAACTTTCTTAAAACCGAATTATACTCTTCTTTTGAGTATGAAATTGGAAGAAGACGTGATTTTCTACGGAATAAGTAAAAGAATAAATATTTTTATGCATGTTTTCCACGAAATATAATGGAATTTTCAAGGGCATCGAAAATCAATGTGAAAATTGCATACTACTGAAGTAGTCATTTTTTGCAGAGTATAGATTTCGCATGCAGCCGAAGATAAGTTCTTTCGAAAGCCGACACCCTGAGGTAACTGGATCATTATAGATTTATGCTGCATCATGATTCGTTTTACAACACTACTTAATTTATATTTTTGAAACGAGAACGCATTTCGAAATTGTGGTTGACATTTCATGAGTTAGCACATCTACTGTAAAATCGTACGTATTAGATACAGTGTTTAATTACTTTCGTTGCACCTGCATTACGTATGTCTTACGAAAGTTTTTTTTTATGCAGGAACTACCAATGGCCAGTGGAAGTGACTTCTCATTCTGGATACGAAGGTCGCAGAAACCCCCCTGACCCAAGACGGACTTTGTACATTTACATTTTTTGACTTACGTATTCAATAAATCGTCCTTCCACAATACCGCCTTCCGACTTTACCATCTTCGGGACGTGGGGGTTCGCTGTGACTGGTTTCGGGGTTTTACGTCAAGCGACCGTTCGTCATGGTTGGCGTTTACGGCCAAAAAATCGAGGCCGCAATGAATGGAAAAAACGAGAAAAGGCCCGCGCGCAAAATTTTTTCCAAGGTGCGGCCAAGTGCGGCCAATGTGTTGATGGCCAGCCCACAGCCACACCATTTGGCCACACCATTTGGCCACACCTGGCCGCAGCATAGCCGCACTTGGCCACACCATATTTGCCTCGGCCAAGTGCGGCTGGTGCTGGCAGGGAGGACAGTATAGTTCTCTTACTTGTTAATAAATCGACGATAAACGTGCTCAGATAAGATTTATCGGTAAAAGTATAATGTTTCTTAAAAATTTTACGAAAAAAACCTCTTGTGTGTACGGGTGAAGCTTAAAGCCATTGAGGCTATGTTGGGTGAAAAATTATGTCACTTTATTTCCGCTTTATCGTCAAAACATGACGGGAAGCTTAGATGGCTTATGAGCAACAATAATAAATTTTGCCAGATTTATACTGGAAAACTGAGCAAAAGATTAAGAAATCGAAGTAAAAAAATATAGATTTCACCAACCTTTTCAAAGTCGGGCTGCACGTGTTGACCTTGACCGCGTTCACAAAAATAAATAGTGCACGGGAGTGTCGTTCACCGATTTCTCATGACTGCAGTGAGGAATATGAACGATCACGTCCTGGGAAAAGCATCGGTCTAGAGCCTTCGCAAGCGATCTCGATGTGGCTCCACCACCAATTGGTCCGGTGTAAGAGCTCGAAGCCCATTGACCTGAGCTTGTAGTATTGCTGACAGACGACGACGACGACGACGACAAATAAGTCAGAAACGGCTATCCGAGTCTGCCCTATCTCATTTTGGAGCGTCTCTTAACGATGAAATTCCTATATCGAAGACTGGAATTGCTGTTTGCAAGACCGTTTGAGACTCAGAGAAGAGTATGTCGCAAGCTCAGAACTAAGTCCAGAAAACGGCGACTGTACCAGACTCGTGCATCTTGGAGACTCACTATTGATGGACTGAATCAAAGCTGGAAAACGAAACGCACAATTTGAATTTAGCTGCGGTTATTAAGTCACAAGATATGTCTAGTTGCCAGGATTTTGACTTTTCGGACTTCCGAAGCTCGATAGGGTAGTAGAACGGTTGGTGCCAGTGAAAGCTTCAAGGGTTCAGCGAGGACAAAACAAGAGGACCCGCGGAGAAGCTACACTCATCCTGGCTGAGCAATTTGCTCAAAATGTTCACGTGGATGACCGAATACACAAACCTAACTTCATCGCAGAAGCACTTATTCAAATGGCGAATGTCGAATTCACAGCGGCCCAAATATTTGGATGGCTCGCTTGAAATCGGACGAGGCATCAGGACCTGACTTCCTAGGCTTCTTGGTCCCAGTTTTAGTCAATTTCCTGTGTAGTCTTTAGTACTAGCCTGAGAACGACTAGAGCCATAAATTGCTGTAGAAGGCTCCAACTACCGTCTTCCTAAAAACGCTCGAAATTTCTGGCGACAAATAATTCCGTAGTGTGATGGCGAGGGCGTTGCTAGATGGTCAATTGACTCGGTTTCAGACCTTTCCCGTGGATCCAAGTGTTGACTTATTACTAGCTGATGACGACAATCAACCCAGAAATGACTACCCCGGTGTCCCTGTCTTCATCAATAACACTGGAATTTAATCGCCGTGCACCCACCTGGGCTACTTGTACGCCGAGAGCCCCAAGACAAGACAGGTACGCCCATTTTCGTTCTGCAGTCGGGAGGGAACAGAGTACACCTATCTCATGTACACTTATCATGGCCTCTCAGTGAAGTTCGCAAAATCATAAAGAGGATTTTCTATGTGCAAGTCCCAATCGCTTGGAAACACGTCGGCCTATGACATGTCAAGTTGGGTACATAGTTATGGGAATCATAAAATTCATCTCTCCAACAGGCCTTACCGCGAGTGCGCTGCATATGCTTCCGAAGAATCCGTGCTAGGTCCATTGCCCTTCTTGGTTTACGCGAAGACTCGTCCGAAGTATTTTCTCGAAGAATTTCTTCTCCGCGGTTGATGTGAAAGTTTAAGCGTCGCAGCGAGACATGGCTTTGCCCAAGTATACCTGGCACCTCTCAGAGCCTTAATCGGCCGATGGGGTCGTATTATGAATACACAGAAGCCTCAGATTTTTGTGGATTATCGCAACTTAGAGCAGAAGTGGTATCCTTAAGGGATGAAATTAACACACGTGATGAAGTCGCCGCAGATTTGAGGGCTTTTGGTTCTGATAAACAGATATCGGCGAAATAGGTTCCTGGGTTGACGAAAAGTCACGCAAGAAAATACTCGTCATTTGAAAGCTTGCAAAATTCAGCCGATCCAAAGTTTTATCTCTATGCAACTTTTTGGTCCACCATGCCTTGAACACTGCTCACAGGAATCTTAACACACTTCGATCATGGTAAAATCAAGGAAGAATTAACGGGCTTGCTACAGAAATTTTTTTAAGGAAAATGAAGTGCTCACCGGATCGAGGGAATTGCATTGCTGACATTGAATCACAATACCTTTATGATCTCTTTTGGGCCAATGGATACCCAGGCTACTTTATCAAGCAAAGCAAGCACCGAGTGAACAGACGACGGTCACCAGAAGAACCCGAAGTCTGGAGGGCTGCTATTCTTTACATTAAAGGAGTCTCCGAGGCGGTTTCACGACTGTTTGAACCCGCCAGGCAACTGACATGCAGGCAGTTTACTAGCGGCTTATGGAGTATGTTGAAAGACGAGATGGTCACCACACGTACGTGTGCAGTTTTCAACAAATTAACTGATCCCAAGTGTATGTAATGACAGGCAGAGGAAAGGCGAATCGTCGAGTGAGGCTTAGTTCTCAGAGGTCTTCAGCGGTGCGTACGCAAAAACACACTTTTTACCGATCTGTGCAACTTTGCATTTTCCCCATTTTTGCTCTAGTTTATTTGTATCCATGTTTTGACATACTTGAGTCTTTCCAGACTTTTGACTGAGGCTTGGCACTCCGGTGTTCTCGGCTGCTGTTATGTTTTTCTGTGGGTTTAGGCGGAGCATTTCCTCGTTGTTTTACTCTTCTCGTGAATTCTTGCGGCGGTGTCGGTAATCGAGCTTAGCTCTTCTTTCTGTCCCCCCTATAACCTGCAAGGCATTTCAGTGTTTGGTCTGGGTGCAATAAATTTGCAAATTCTTGGAAAGAAATGTTACTTGGAATACTTGGCGTCATTATGTGAATGCCACTGCGCGGACCGCCGAGTTTGTGGCTATAGAAGGTGATATT